TTGTCTTGATATGTGATATTGAGAGATAAACCATAGACAGCAATGTAAAGAGGTGAGGGGAGAAAAGTTTATGCTTCATTTGAAAGCACCAGTAAATATATGCCATTTCATTAATGTCTATTGTGTACTCCATGATTAAATTTAAAAATACTATTAGTTTATTATTATACCCAAGTATGACCTTATTATTTGCTATGCCCTTAAAAATTGGTCCACACCAAATGATAACCACAATCCTTATGATCAGGATAAAACTAGAAATTGCATATAGCTTTTAGATGTTCTCATAACTTTAGCTGCCTTCCATACAATGCCTTTAGGATATTATCTTCTTACCAATGTATAGGATTTTTGCACGGAGGAGGTAACAGCCCACTGCTTTTGATTTAATACCCTTTTAATCAGTTGCCCAAGAGCAAAACTAAAGAAAAGAAATAAGTTCTTACAACTGGGTGGTCTTCTAGTATTGATTATTGGAATCTGTATACTAGGATAGCACTTGCTAAAGTGTTGTGCTTTTTTACATAAAAATTGCTACAGTCCAATAATTGCATAGAAAGTCTCCATAAACAGTGTATGTTCTCATTCATTTGGGGAATATGAATAATAGTGAAAGGGAATATAAGGGAAGGGAGAAGAAATGTGTGGGAAATATCAGAAAGGGACACAGAACATAAAGACTCCTAACTCTGGGAAACGAACTAGGGGTGGTGGAGGGGGAGGAGGGCGAGGGGTGGGGGTGAATAGGTGACAGGCACTGAGGGGGACACTTGACGGGATGAGCACTGGGTATTATTCTGTATGTTGGTAAATTGAACACCAGTAAAAATGAATTTATTAAAAAAAGTCTCCATAAACTCCATACCCAGTTTCCACTATTATTATTTTATATTAGTATGACACTTTTGTTATGATTAATTAACCAATATTGACACATTATTATTGGCTAAAATGCATTCTTTATTCAGATTTCCTGTTTTTACCTAAGGTCTTTTTTTTCTCTTCTACATCACATTTGTCATGTCTTCATAGGATCTTCTTGATTGTGACAATTTCTCAGACTTTCCTTTTTTAAAATTTATTTATTCATTTTACAGAAAGAGAGAGAGAGAGCAAGTGAGGGTAGTGGCAAAGGGAGAGAGGATCCTCAAGATGACTCCCTCCTGAGCATGGAGTCTGATGTGGACCTCCATCTCAGGACCCTGAGATCATGACCTGAGCTGAAACCGAGTCGGCCACTCAACTGACTAAGCCACCCAGGCATCCCTCAGACTTTCCTTTTTTTTGTGACATTAATAGTTTGAAGATTACAAACCAGGTACTTATTAAATGTTCTTCTTTTTGGATTCATCTGCTGGCTTTTCTCGTGATTAGACTGGGGAGCTTATAGGTTTTGTGGGAGAAAAGGACAGAAATAAAGTACCATTCTCATCACATCATACCAAGGGTATATACTGTCAAAATGACTGAGTACTTCTGTTGTTAAACTTAATTACCTGACCGAGGGAGTATTTGTCAGGTTTCTCTACTGTATAGAACCTCAGCAGTTCTATACTGTATTGCTTTTAACAAAGAAGTCTATGTGCAGCCCACACTTAAAGCACAATATTCACCCCCACCTCCTTGAGGGCATACTATGTACATAAATCATATGGAGTTTTTCTGCATAATACATATGTCTCTATTCAATCACTTGTTCAAATCGATATGGACTTATGAATATTTTTTACTTTTGCTTATAATCAAACAATATTTTATTTTGTTGTTAAAATCGTTCTGGCTTTGGTCAATGGGAGCTTTTTCAGTTTGTTCTTTTGTCCCTTTGATGTGACATAGCCCCCATCATTATTTTTTGAGGGCTTTCTTACTTTATGGCACCACAAAATGTTCCAGGTTTATCTTGCAGAATATGACATTACAACTTGAGTTTGATTGTTTGTTTTTTAATGAGGGCCTTATTGTTCCCCATTCTTCCACCTTGATTTCATTTTTTTTATCTTTAAATATGAATTTTACACTGATATGCATATAACACTACAAGCAATTTTTCCTTACAAATTCATAGGAAAGACATCAATAAGATTATTATTAAGAAGATGTCTTACAAAAATCAGAAAAAAGACAGACAAATTTAAACAATAAACTTTGAAGTATAAGTGACTGGGCATTTATGAGCTGTGTTACAGTTTGATATTAATATGTTGTTCTTGAGGTCACATATTAAATAGTACAACACATTTTGTCTTTTAGTTCTATTTCCAAAAGCAGAAATGAAATAGTTGCCTTTCAAATATCAGAAATAACAACTATAGACATGCTTAATCATAATATTTAAAGGAATATGAACCTAACATATTGTTAGATCTCTAGATGGAAAAGAGTCCCCAATTTTTCAAATCTTAAACACATTTTAGTTAATTTTAAGTTAAATGAATATGCAATACTACACTGATAGAAATGAACCATGAGAACCAAGGTACCTCATTCTCAAGAATGAGGTTGTAAGTAACAAAGATTTAAAATCAACCAATAGTTCCATCACTAAAATTTTTTGGAATCATTGCACTAATATTATTTGTTAAAATGTTCTAAATTTAGTAAAATGATTAAACAATTTCTATAATTTTGTACAGTACATTTTAAACCATAGGCAAAGGTATTTAACCTTAAACTTTTCTATAAACTACAAATTGTAGTTTGTTCCTTATTTCCTTTTTAGTAATAGTTTCTACTGAATAATGCAGTATAAAAAATTTGCTAAGTGAAAAACATCAGATTGAGAAAAACAAATATGTGAATCTACTCATTCACAATTAGAATCTAAAAACAAATGAATAAACAAACAAAAATCAATGTATGTCTTATAAGAAGCATGATCATAACACACTGTTGAAATATTTGTTCTGGCTTTTGGAATGCTAAGGATGAAATAATGAAAAGAAAAGACACTTAACAAGGTAGTTGTAATGAAGCAAAAATGTAGAGTTAGTAGACAACTAAGACAAAAAATGATAATGACTGGCTATTGGTATGTGCATATTTACAATATGGGATCATAATACAGTACAGTTCCTAAAGGAAGTACATATTTACAATTCAAGTACATTGGAATATATTTGGGTTTATAAATATTCAAACCAATATATTAATATAACTATTTACTTTTTTCTTTCTCCAAATTTTTACTTAAATTCCAGTTAGTTAACATACAATATAATTAGTTTAGGTGTAGAATTTAGTGATTCATCACTTATGTACAACTTTAACACTTTGGATTTAATATCCAATAGGAATAATTGTAGGTTATTCAGGTATGTTGCATGTTAATAATTTAGCCCTACATCAGGCTCCCCGCAGGGAGCCTGCTTCTCCTTCCCTATGTCTCTGCCTCTATCTATTTATTTATGAATTAATAAATAAAATATTTTAAAAATTGCAACCTACTATCCCAGAAGTTATATAGCATTTTCTTGGGTAATCACAAAAATATCTAGGAAAATTAGTATATACAGTATTTCTTAAAATGTCTGTATCATGTTCAATCTAATATTTTTTTAAAGCCATGTTTTTTTTTAATTTTTATTTATTTATGATAGTCACACACACACACACACACACACACAGAGAGAGAGAGAGAGAGGCAGAGACACAGGCAGAGGGAGAAGTAGGCTCCATGCACCGGGAGCCCGACGTGGGACTCGATCCCGGGTCTCCAGGATCGCGCCCTGGGCCAAAGGCAGGCGCTAAACCACTGCGCCACCCAGGGATCCCTCAATCTAATATTATACTTAATGTCATTTCACAAAGTCTTGTGCATGTTTACATTATAACAAGAAGACTGAGTTCCTACAAAAGCATCATTTTGCACAGTTGATTGCCATTTCTCATGTTATGTTGCTTTTTCTACTGATATTATGTTTTGAATTTATGGAAGCAAAGAATTGTCAGGCAGATATATTGGGGGGAAAAAGAAACCTTATATATAGAAGCACATTTACCAGTCCTCCATACTTATGTAGAGACACAGTACAGGAAATAAATAAAGATTATTTCCAAATAAATAAGCATAGCTTCATGTTGAAATATTTATTTTCCTATGGCTCTTTCACACTTCAATTATATTGTCAAGGTCATCAGTTGTGTATACATATATATGGGGAAAATAAAATCTGGTATGAAGAAAGAAAACAAGTAAGAATCTACTAGGTTGCTACTTTGGACGAGATTAGAGTACAGAACATAATTTTCTTCCATTCAAACAGTACTAGTAGACACAAAAATAAAGACAAACTCAAATATTTTATGAGCTATACTGTCATTTCTTATTTCCTTTAATGTCCTGAAATAGCTGACATGTTCTATTTCCTATGTTCAGATATTGCTGCTATAAGCACCATTTCATTACTTGCTTTATGCAAAATATTTTCATGATTGTAAATTACCTATGAAATGAATACTACTTAAAATAATTATCAAATGCCAAATTAAGCTGTTCTTTACTATCACATAAAGATGTATTTATTGAGTGTAAATACAGTAACTATGTACTGAGGAACAGATAAGAATATGCTAAGCAATTAGAGCTTTTGTTTTGTCAGAACTGCCCTCACAGAAGTCAGAAAGAGTTCCTATTTATGTGATTTATTACACTGGCACAGAGAATCACAAGTATATAAACATTGAAGCCACAGAGGATATTTCCAAAATTTAGTAATTATAATAATCATCTCTTATTACTAAAACAGAAATCCTAACAGAATTGGAATGGAATCAGAAAAGTGAACTCACAACTCTAAAACATATTTCCTGTTAATTATCAAAACATATGTGAAATTACTGTTTTCCTTTATAGACTTAGAGGAGGGGGTTTCTTATAAACCCTGATTGGCTACTTACAAATTCAGATAATTATAGCACTTTTATTTAAACACTAAATGCTAGTTGTAGAGAATAAGTTAACCTAGTCTACAGTTTTCAGTTATGTGACTGAAAACTCCTACCTTGCTGTAGAATCTTCTGTATTATCATCAGCAATCATCTCCAAATCTTGTAAGTGTTTCTCACAGGCTTCTTTAAACAAATTCTCTTCTGAAACTGCTTTAGGAGTATCTTCATTTGCTCGAAGATGTTCTATCAGGTTTTGTGAGTGCCAATTCTGAAAGGCTCTTTGATGGTCGAGGCCGGTCCTGGCACTGGTGTTAGTATGTTGGGGTGGAAAGGATTGTTTCTTTTTTTTTTCAGGCTGTTTCTGTCCTGAGCATGGTTGTTCAACCTGCCCTGAACCCGGTTCCCTCTATGCTCATATCCTTCCTGTTGAAGGCAGTTTTCAGTGTTGGGCGACCCTTGAGAAGAATGACTAAATCACCACCAGTGCAGCCTTAGGATCTGTTTCACATGAAACTATTTCTTGCCAGACACTGACATTGTTGCAAGAGGAAAGACAAAAGCCTTCTCTTACCTAAAGGAAATGGGGCCTTTGTTATCTCCTGTTTCTCTGCCTCTTCTGCAGAATTAACAAAAGCTTAAGTGCTGAGCGCAGTCTTTCTTGCTTTCCTCCCTTCCCCCACTGCCTGTGGTGTACTCTAGCTTTCTAGTTGAAGCAGAGAACTGAAGCTAACAGTGTAGATGGGAACTCACACTGACAGGATGATGAGATCAGACATTAATGTAAATCAGCTTAGCATAGGAAAGCAGCTACCACAGCACACTGCAGCTGCTAGATTTGCAGGCTCACAGCCCTCCCACTGACTTGCAAATATCTAACCCAGCTTCTTCCTTACCCTAAATACAATAGTTGTGGCTTAAAAGCAGACAAGTAAGCAAAAGCAGTATTTAAACTCACTTCCTTCTATATTCCCTCTACTCACCCCACCCTCTGCCAGATTAGCCCACTTCTGAGAATATGCCACTTTGTCCTAGAATAATTTGTAACAGGAGATTCATGAAGATCTTTTTTCAGGTCATTTTGGCAATTTTTATAGGGTTCATTAAGGGACAACATTTTGTCATCAGTCCTCACATGCAGGTTTATAATGCACATCAGTCCTCTCATGCAGCTTTGTAGCTATTTTCACAAAATATCTAAAAAATGTTAATGGTCTTATATTAATATTTGCTTAAAAACCTGAACAGTTTCAGTAGAATAAGAAAGTGTTGGTTACCCATCACTAAACACTCCCACACCCCACTAGCGAAAGTATTAATAGTATTTTAAGTCTATACCTGAAAGAAGAGAGCAGCGTTTTTCTAAGCTGGTTAGGTTAAAAGAGATACCTTCTCTCAGTGACAATAGCTTGAAAACAAATAGTCTATTCTGGTTCTATGCCTGTATAAACACCTCTTTATTATGCTCTTTACTTTCACAGGGAGTGTTAAAGGTCTATTTTCTTTGTTCAGAAGTCTTTGTGACAGGAGTAAAAAGGACATGTCTTGAATCAACTCCAAATTGCCACATAGCTCAGTAATAACTATACACAAAGTACTTTGATATCTAAATCAGGATCATTACATTGTACAGAGAGAAGTACTTCTATAACAGTCATGTGTCTTAAATGCTTTCAACAATGTCATTTTGAAATTCAGTTTGAATTTTTTCCAGTTTCCATGTAATGTAAATAAGTGCTAAGGGAGAAATTATACCAGTGTATTCTTAGAAAGAATATCAGAATTGTAAGGTTTTGGTTTTAGTTCTGGCTTTGTAGTTAATGAGCTGTATGATCTTGAATAAGTAACTTCACTTCTTTGTATCATGGTTTCTTCATACATAGTATGGGGAGCTGAAGAGATTTTTAAATTTCTACCTACAATGGATTTTAAATGCTTAGAAACTGATTATCTTTTTCAACGTTTTGGTAGGTATGTTACCTGCAGTTTTCTATAAATATAATTATAAATTTCCCTTTCCTCTCTTGTTTTTGTAGGTGTAATGGTAAATATGTGTCAATTTGGCTGGGTGATGGAGTACCCATAAACTTGGTCAAACATTATTTTGGCTGTGTCTGGATGAATTTAACATTTAAATCAATAGACTGAGTAATGTAAATTGTCTTCCTTAATGTGTGTGGGCTTTATCCAATCAATTGAAGGCTGATCAAATATGTAAAAGCAATTAATAAAGAACATAAAGGATCTCATTGATAATATAATAAGACTAGGGAAATTCAACAACCCACTTATATCAATGGACTGATCATCTAAGCAGAAAATCAACAAGGAATCAATGGCTTTGAATGATACAATGGACCAGATGGGCTTAACCTATATATACAGAACATTTCATTCTAAAGCAACAGAATACACTTTATTTTCAGGTGCACATAGGACATTCTCCAGGGTAGATCATGTATTAGGTCACAAAACAGGCTTCAACAAGTACAAAAAGACTGAGTTCATACCATGCATCTTTTCAGACCTTGGAGTTGCTATTAATGCTATGAAACTTGAAGTCAACCACAAGAAAAAAAAATTGGAAAGACCACAAATACATGGAGATTAAGCAGCATGCTACTAAACAATGAATGTGTCAATCAGAAAATCAAAGAAAAAACTAAAAACATACAAGGACAAATGAAAATGAAAACATGACAGTCCAAAACCTTTGGGATGCAGCCAAACTGGTCCTAAGAAGGAAAATATTGCTTTATAGGCCTACTTCAATAAGCAAGAAAAATCTCAAATAAACAACCTAACCTTACACTGAAAAGAGCTATAAAAAAGAACAACAAATGAAGCTTAAAGACAGCAGAAGGAAAGAAATAATATAAATTAGAGCAGAAATAAATGATATAGAAACTAAAACAAAAACAAAAACAACAGTAGAACAGATTAATCAAATCAGAAAAATGGTTTGAAAAAAATAACAAAATTGATAAAATCCCTAGCCAGATTTATCAAAAAGAAAATAGAAGGGACTCAAATAAATAAAATCATAAGTGAGAGGGGGAGAGATCAAAATCAACAGCACAAAAATACCAACAGTCATAAGAGAACATTGAGAACAATTATATGTTAACAAATTGGATAATTTGGAAGAAATGATTAAATTCCTAGAAACATATAAACTGAACCGAAACTGAAAAAAAATGAAATAGAAAACTTCGACATATTGATTGCCAGCAATCACCACTGTTATTTAATATTGTACTGGAAGTCTTAGTTTTAGCAATCAGACATCAAAAAGAAATAAAAGACTTCCACATTGGTAAATAAGAATTCATAGTTTTCACTATTTGCAGAAGACATGATAATCTATATAGAGAACCAAAAGAGGGACGCCTGGGTGACTCAGCGGCTGAACGTCTGCCTTAGGCTCAGGACGTGATCCCTGGATCTGATATTGAGTCCCGCGTTGGGCTCCCTGTGAGGAGCCTGCTTCTCCTCTGCCTGTGTTTCTGCCTCTCTGTGTGTGTGTCTCTCATGAATAAATAAATACATCTTTTTTTTTAAAAGAGAGAGAACCCAAAAGACTCTACAAGAAAATTTCTAGAACTGATACACAAATTCAGTGATCACAGGACGCAAAATCAACCTATTGAAATCTGTTGCATTTCTGTTCACCAATAATGAAGCACCCGAAAGAGAAATTGAAGAATTAATCCTATTTAAAATTGCACCAAAAATAATAAGATACTTAAGAATAATCCTAGCCAAAGGGAAAAGATCTGTACTCTGAAAACTATGAAACAATGATGAAAGAAATTGAAGGCAACAAAAGAAGTGGAAAAACATTCCATGCTCAAGAATGGAAGAACAAATATTGTTAAAATGTTTAAACTACCCAAAGCAATCTTCACATTTAATGCAATCCCTATCAAAAATGCCACCATCAGGGCCACCTAGGAGGCTTAGTCCTTGAGTGTCTACTTTGGCTCAGGTTGTAAACCTGGGATCCTGGGATCAAGTTCTGCATCAGGCTCCCTGCAAGGAACCTACTTCTCCCTCTGCCTATGGCTCTGCCTTTCTCTATGTATCTCTCACAAATAAATAAATAAAATCTTTTTAAAAACCACCACCATTTTTCACAGGACTAGAAAAAATATTAAACTTTTTATGGAACCACAAAAGATCCCTAATAGCCAAACCTATCTTGAAAAACAAAATTAAAGCTAGAGGCATCACAGTTCCAGACTTCAAGTAATATTACAAGACAGTATTGATCAAAACAATATTATACTGGCACAAAAACAGATGCATATTTTAATGAAAGAGAATTATAAATCTAGAAATGAACATAACCACATGGTCAATTATTCTTTGACCAAGTATTAAAAAATATCCAACAGAAAAAAGACAAATCTCTTCAACAATTACTGTTGGGAAAACTGGGCCGCAACAGCATGTAAAAGAATAAAGCTGGAACACTTTCTTACACCAAACACAAAAATAAATTCAAAATGCATGAAAGACCTAAATGTGAAACAGGAAACCATCAAAGTCCTAGAGGACTATACAGGCAGTAATCTCTTTGACATTGACCAAAACAACTTCTCACTAGATATGTAGCTTGAGGCAAAGGAAACAAAAGCAAAAATAAAATTTTGGGACTTCATGAAGATAAAAAGCTTCTGCACAATGAAGAGAAAAATCAACAAAATTAAAAGGCGACCTTTACAAAGGGAGAAAATATTTTCAGGTGACATATCTGACACAGGTTAAGCATCCAAAATATGTAAGAACATATCAAACAACACCCAAAAAACAAATAATCCAGTTAAAGATGGGCAGAAGATATAGACGTTTTTCCAAAGAAGACATCCAGATGGCCTACAGACACATGAAAGGATGTTCATCATCACTCATCATCAGGGAAATACAAGTCAAAACTGTCATGAAATATCACCTCGCATCTGTCAGAATGGCTAAATGCAACAACACAAGAAACAACAGGCATTGATGAAGATGTGGAGAAAGGGTAACTCTTTTGTTTTGTGTTGTTGGTGGGATTGCATACTAGTGCAACCACTCTTGAAAGCAGCATGGAATTTCCTCAAAATTTAAAAATGGAACTATCTATGATCCAGCAGTTTCACTACTAGGTATTTACCTAAAAAATACAAAAATACTGCACCCTGATGTTAATAGCAGCATTTTCTACCATAGCCAAATTATGGAAACAGCCCAAGTGTCCATCAACTGATGAATAGATAAAGAAGATATAGTATATATACACTGAGCCATAAAAATGAATAAAATCTTGCCCTTTGCAATGACATGGATATAGCTAGAGTCTTAAGCAAAATTAGTCAGTCAAAGAAAGACAAATAGCATATAATTTCACTCATATGTGGAATTTAGGAAACAAAACCTATGTATGAACATAGGGGAAGAAATGA